AATTACTTCAAAGCAAAAGTCATTGGTCTAGCACAGTGTTAGGTGTATTCAAAGTCACAGCTTGAGGTTTTAGAAACAGAATACTCCTGAATGGGTTCCATATACTGAGTTGTTAAGAAAGTGTCTTGTAGGCTAGGCCCAGAATCTATCACTTGTAATACTGTTTGTAAGGGGAAAAAATTACTTCTAATTTTAACCAGCAATCTTAAATCATTTAACTTGAATGAATGACTATAACTCTGGTTCCATGTTTCCCATAAGTAAAATGAGAGAATAGTAAGGCCTATTCCAGCTATTTTTCAGAGACTGGGTATTTAGTCAACCTCTTTTTTTATTTTTTCTTCTTTGAAATCTGGCCAGTTGGTGTCTGAGCAGTGTGTGGTACTGGCAACTCTCATCTCTTGATGTTTGCAGAATCCCACTGCTGCCATGCAGGGGGTGGAGAGTAGTACTGTTGGTTGCTGGCATGGTACATCTGAGTGATAGTATCTTGTGTGTAAAGATGGATCTCCAAAAAAGTGTTAACAGGGCATTCATTTTACCTCTTACAATGAGATTGACAAGTATAGTCAATGAACAAATCAAAATACACTTATATAATAACTGTGTCAGTGAAAAACCTTTCACTACAATATATATTTTTCTTGTGGGGGTGGTAGTAATGGTTTCTGAACGTGAGCTTTGTGCTTGCTAGGAGGATACTCTACCACTTTTTTTGCACTGGTCACTTTCAAGGTAGGGTCTTGCTTTATATAAGCTAGGGCTGGCCTGGGCTGTGACACTCGTTCTTGTGCACCTCTGTGAATATGTTCCCTGGGATGGCAGGCCAGAAACACTGACTTTCCCTGTAACTGGGTTAATCATCATTGACTGAGATGGGAGTCTTGCAAACTTCTTAGTTTTTAATTCCCACGCTGGCCTCAAATAGTGATCCTCTGATTTCTACCTCTTCAAGTAGCTAGGATTACAGGTTTGAGCCACTGTGCCCAGTGCAATTTATTCTCTAGAAAGATAAAATAGCTGCGCTGTTTTAAAAGTAAACAGTTGGGTGTGGTTGTCCATGCTCTACTTAGGAGGTAGAAGTAGAAAGAGCTTGGTCCAAGGCATGAGTCCCTACCTGAAAAATAAAGCAAAACTAGCTAGGGGTGTGACTGAAGAAGTAGAGTACTTACCTAGCAAGTGCAAGGCCCTGAGTTCAGGCCTAGAAAAATAAAGACACCAATACCCACAGGTAGCGAAAGGCTATAAAAATATGTAGTACTATTAAACTATGCATTCCATAACATTGAGCTACTTGGGCATTGTTGTCTTCCTTTGAAATGCTAGGCCCAGTTGCTTCTTCTTTGCTTACTGGTTTTAGGGGTTACCCCCTTTGCAATGTGACCACCTTGAATCTGCCCACCCACACTCTGATTCTGGAGCTGTATCCTGGGAAGCCAAGGCTTCTGTGGGACTCTCACATAGGCACTGTGACAGACAAGCACAGAGTCCACCTCTCAACCAACCCTGAATTCCTCAGAGACAGGGATAAGATTTATACCAGCAGTTCATGAACCACTATGAAGTGAGACAATTCATTTGTAATAATAATAATAGCAAAATTATAAAGCATAGAACTTAAGAGCTAGAAGGAATTGCCAACTAGTCCAAGGTTCTACTGTTCTGAGATTTTAAATAACTCCTTCCAAATCAGAGAAGAACGGGGCACCTGTGGCTCATACCTGTAATCCTAGCTACTCAGGAGGCTGAGATCTGAGGATCACGGTTCAAAGGCAGGAAAGTCCATGAGATTCTTATCCCCAATTAACCACCAGAAAACCGGAAGTGGCCCAGTGGCTCAAGTGGTAGAGCGCTCACCTTGAGCTGAAGAGTGCAGTGGCAGCGCCCAAGCCCAGAGTTCAAGCCCCATGACCAAAAAAAAAAAAAAAAAAAAATCAGAGAAGAGCTAAGACGTTGAATCTTCTGTTCTGATGCTTCAGCCTGGCTTGCCAAGTTGCTATGCCTTTGCAAATTCACAGGATACCCAGCACTCTTAGGAATTTAGTTCAGTTCTCCTCTATTTCCACCTGTGGTTAACTCTCCAGGCAGATTCTCCACTGGAGGAGCCTTTCTAACAACCCATGATTCACAGCAGAACACCGGGAGGGACAGTGTTCTGCCCACTACACTGGAGTGACCCAATGTTCAAGGGCAGATAGTCAGTGTGGGGGAAAGCCCAGCAATGGTGTAGCGACCAGCAATTCCTGATTCGGCACAGCTTGCGAGCTAAACACTTTTTTTTTGCATTTTTAAATGGATGAAGGAAAATCAAAAGAATAATATCCTGTCAATTCTATGACATTCAAATTACAGTGTCCATTAATGAAGCTTTTTTGAGACAGGGCCACAATAATTTGTTTAGGTATTGTTGCTGGTGGCTCTCACAGAAGAACTCTGTTCAAGGACTATAAAATATCCAGTGTTTACTATCTGGGCCAGGCTCTGGTGGCTTACTCCTAAAATGCTAGCTACTCAGGAGACTGAGATCTGAGCATTCTGGTTCCAAGCCAGCCTGGCAGCTAACCAGCAACAAGCCAGAAGTGGAGCTGTGGCTCAAACATAGAGCACCAGCCTTGAGTGAAAAAGCGAAAGGTCAATGCCTACACTTGAGTTCAAGCCCTAGTACCAGCACACGCACATGTGCATACACACACACACACTTCTCTAGTCCTTGATAGAAAAAAGTTTGCCACCCCTGCTGTAAGAATAACAGACCCTCTCTTCAATATTAAGAGAACACAGTTACACTACTGAGAGACCTCAGTACCCTCGGTTATGGAAAACAAAGGCTTTGAGCAAAACTGATACCATCCTCATTCTATCATACCTTCATGCTGCATGAGAGGTTTCAGGATCCATATTGTCCAGATGGGCAAGGGTTAATTGCAGGCCTGCTCATGTTGAAAGAATCAGGGGGGTGGGAGGGTGCTGGCCCCCAACAAGGGACTCCCCAAGGTATTCCCTCTCTACTATTTCTCACTGTACCTATGTACCCCTGAAATCTTAATGAAACCCCTTTTATACAATTTATATATATGCTAATTTTTTAAAAAGAGAAAAGAGATCTTTCCTAATTTTCCAGTCTATGATCCCCAAATGGGAGGCATCTCTTGATTCTAAGACTGAATCAGCCACCTAACTGGAGGTAGCCAGGGCCACACTGGAATCCTGTATTGTCCGGTTACCACCTAGGAACCCCAGGACCAGTGATGGATCCCTTGTTTTTCTCACATAGAAAGTTAAGTAGCACTCTTTTCCCAGGCCTGTTTGGAGAATAAATTAGATACAATTCAAATATCAGCTCTTGGTAACCTTTTGCCCTCCTTTTCTTTCCCACAGGCAGGAAGTATTTGGAGAACAACAGAAGAAAGTCTTGTTAGGAAAGTTTATTTCAAACAAGCTTAGAGTTTAAGATGTTTTTCTATAGCTCTAGAATTAAAAAAAATATTCCCCATCTATTAGGGCAATAAAAATAGTTTTAAAGACTTAGCTGAGAGTGGGGGGTTAGTGGGGGAGGATGGGAAGGGATAGGAAGGGGAAACAAAGGAGGAGGCTACAATGCTTGATAAGAAATGTACTATTATCTTGCCCATGTAATTGTAACCCCTCTGTACAGTATTTTCACAATAAAAATTTAAATTAAAATTTAAAAAAGACTTAGCTGAATATTTTTCTCTCTCATATCTTTCAATTCTTTGAAGCTTCTTCCAAATTATAATCCAAAATAAGAATGCTATAATTTTTAGAAAAGTTATGGTTATGTTTATGTAATTTTTACAGCAAGCCACCAAAGAACCAAGCTGTAATATACTCATGTTCAGTTATGAAAAACCAAGACTGTTTAAAAAAAAATACGAAAACCAGAAAGTCCTCGTTTATTTAGTCTGGCTTCCTTACATGAAGTTCTTGTTCTTAAAATATTCAGCTTTGGCTGAATTCCAAAACCTACATAAGCCTACTTCAGGTGTTTTGAACAGGCTGTAGAGAACTGGAACTGAAAATAAGATTGAAATATAAAACCTTGCATGCAATCATAAACGCCGAAGCTTATTGCCTTGAAATTCTCAAGCCAGGTTTCCCACCCACAATTATAAAAATAAATGTCTGTCTTCTCCACACTGGATTACAGGGTGCTAACAGTTAATTTCAGTAACATGTTATCAGTTAACATTTGCTAACAGACAGCTAATTGCTCCGGTCACTAGAACAACCAAACACTTTATGAATCTGAAATAGGTTGAGAAAATACTTTTTTTAATGGATTATGCTAACAATCACCTTCATTAAGCTCATCTTAGTCATTAAGATAGCATATCAACAATTTAAACGATTATAAACTTTTCAGACCACCTTCTATGTGGCAGTAATAAGAAGATGACTACTCGAGAACTAGATCCTAACACAGATAGTCAAGCTCATTTAGTCACAATATTATTAGTTGGGAAAGCAATACTTGAGAGAGTTCAAGTGGGTAGGAGGTGGGAAATTCAAGCCACTAAAGACTTGAAGGTAAAAAATGAGAAAGAATAGAATAGGTCATGCAAATTCATCTACATTCTGGCTGCAGCTGGCTGGCTGGCACAAGTCGTTGCTTCAGCACCCCCAGAACTACACAGAGGAAAGGGTCACAGGTGTTTGGCACCAAGTGAAGGACTATCTGGGGGAGGGGGGGGCAAGAAATCTCACTCAGCTGAACAGCTCTTCAAACCAACGACCCCCTAAAGCTCCAGCACCAGGCCGTGGGTAGGTCAGCGAGGCTGGCTCCTGCACGAATACCCGTTTGCCTGTGGCATAAGCACACACTCTCCCGGGAGCTCAGGGCGCCAGGAGTCGACACGCAGCTCGGTCCCTGCTGCGTGAGAGGCAAGAAAGTTGAAAGCATGTTTCACGGGCCAGGAAGAGACACCCCCTCTCCCCAAAGACAAACTTCCCTCAAGACGGCCAGGTTTCGACACACTCACCTGCATTGTAAAAACGATCCAGCACCGCGGTCTCCCCGAAGTCCAGTTTACCAAAATGCAGGGGCTCCAGGGTGGCGCCCACCGCGTCGCACGCCTCTCGCAGGCTCTGCAGGGCCTCGCTCTCCGCCCCTACCAGCTGCCCCTGGCTGGCCTCGTTGATCACGTACGCCACCGTGGTCCTGCGGCTCCCCCCGCTGCTGGAGTTGCCCCGGCCCCGAGTGGCGCTGCTCCCGGGGGTGGCAGCCGGACAGCCGGTGGCGCCCGGAGCGGCGGCGGCGCTCTCCACATTCCAGAAGCTGCCCGGTGGCGGCGGCGGCGGCAGCGGGCTCGGCTCACCCAGGGCCGTCGTGGTCGCCGTCGCCGCTCCTCCCCTCCGGCAGCTGCCGCCTTCGAGGAAGGCGCAAAAGCGCGAGGAGGCGAAGGGCGGCAAGGAGATGGTGATGTCCTCGCCAGCCTCGGTGCCCATCTCTGCTAGCCGGGCTGCAGCGACGCCCGTGTCCCCGGCCCAGCCGCCCCGTCTGACGAGCCACAGCTCGGGGCTGCTCCGCGCCCGCCGGGCTAGGCGGCTGCCATCGCGCGCCG